CTGAAGATTTTTTTAAAAAAATATCTATAAATAAAATTGCATCTTAAATAGAAGAATTCATGCAGTTCTTTTGCAACTTCATCTACAAAGCCTATTTTTGTATTACAAATATCTGGAGGCAAATAACACTGGGGTCAGGATTAAAAAACAATGATGCTGTGCAATAAAAGACATTAAGGTTGGGAGGACTAATATTCTGAGTTTTATATGTCTTATGAGGTATCTAATTTAGAATTCCTAGAAGATTCATTGCAGCTGTTCCAAACATTAATGGTTAGAAACAAGTGGTTGTTTAGAAAAAAAGAAAAGAAAAACAGACTATATTGAGTAAACTGATTTGTCAAGAATTTTGTAAGGAAGTGAAACAATAGAAAAGCCCTCTTCATCTCATACACTCTCTCTCCTCTAAAAGGTTTGGCCAACACAGAGTTAAATATATATATATTAATAAATAAGACAAACTCCAATTCCAAAGGATTATAATATATGCTTAAAACTAATCCCGTAAACAGTTGTAGCCCACTGAGAGATTAGTTTGAAACACCTATACAAAGATTTATATGTTGATGACAGAAAAATACAGAATATTTTCTTCAAAAGTATTTGCTTTTCATTAAATTTCTCTGAAGAAAATTAAAGCCTTCCCTAAGTCAGCATCAACATTTATATGACTGAAAGACAAGTTGAAAGTGAATGTAATTAATGAATCTTTCTTCAGTTATTCTTCTCCTGTTTATTTTTTTTAATTGGTTCAAAAAGGACAAAATTGGTTGGAAGAAAGGACTTAATTTCATGTGGCATAAAATATATAGGAAGATAGAAACAGTGATCTGGAGATATTAGAATGGAAGAGCAATGGCTAACTTTGGAATAACTATAATTAAAGAGCTTTGATTCAATGGATGCTATATATTTTAAAGCTTAGGGATCAGACTCAATACAGCTGATATGGATTAAACAAAATTTTGTTGAAAAATGCAGAACAATGTAGTACTCTAAAATGTCTGCTCATTTCAAATGAAATATTCTGTTTTCAAAAAAAGTATCCTTTAATATGTCCTGTTTTATTAAATAAATTATACTAATTTATATTATATTATATTATATATATATATATATATATATATATATATATATATATATATATATATAGGTCTTTGGTTGTTCGGGTTTTCTCCACGTAAAATTGGAAGTGTCTGGGATAGATATATATATATATATATATATATATGTCTTGGTTGTTCGGGTTTTCTCCCACGTAAAATTGGAAGTGTCTGGCGACGTTTCAACGAATTTTACGTGGGAGAAAACCAAACAACTCTATATATATATATATATATATATATATATATATTATATATATATATCTTGCCAAGACACTTCCAATTTTACGTGGGAGAAAACCCGAACAACCAAAGACCTATATACAAATACCTCAGAAAACAATATATATATATATATATATATATATATATATATATATATATATATATATATATATATTATAACAATATATTATATATAATATAATATATTAAAACAACACTATATGTAGATACAAATGTATGTATACAGAGAGAGAGAGAGAAAGGCATACAATAGATAGGTATACACACACACACACATAGACACACAAAAAAGTGTATGTTCGTATGTGTATATTTTTTTCATCTTCATCATCATTTTCCTACTAGTGCAGATACCGCTCTTTTTTTCAGCTCAACTGATTGTTGATCCATTGGTTGCAACAGGAATTGATCAACCTGTTTGTGGCCTAAGCCTAAAGTAATGGGTTGAGTGACTGGGCCAAGCTCTACCAGCTGGCTTTTGTGGTTAAAGCAGGAGTAGAACTAATTTCTAGTGTGGTGGCTTAATCACTAGACCAAAGTGATTGAAATTGTATATATGACTTCTCAGGGTGGAGGAGGGAGGATGAATTTTAACACTTCAACAAAAGATAACCATATTTCATTTTAATTGTTCATACATAATCTATATCTATAGGTAGCTTGTTTGTAGGATGCAAGTAATATATGATATGGAACCTACTGGGTAATTGGAGCCATAAATTTATCTTTCCAATGTTGAAAATTAATCTCTTGACAATAATAAAGACATGAAAATCTATTACCATTGACTAGCAGTCAACCTTCACAACCTATATAACCACTGTGGTTATATAGTTCGACAGATTATGTGCATCTGAAAATATTATTTTGATTTGTTTCAAGTCAAATTAATATTTCTAATTATTATATTTCTTTCCCTAATATGGTGATTTTAGAACAGACATGTCAAGCACAAGGCCCGAGGGCTGGATGCGGCCCGCGAAGTGGTTTCATGTGGCCAGTGAAGCCATCCTGGAAACAGTGAGGGAATGACCCCTGCTGCCTTGGCCAGCTGAGAGGGAGCCAATGTACAAATTTGTGGTGGCTATCTATGCTGAAATGCATTCAGTCTTAGCTCCACAAGGCCGTCTGGAAACAGTGAGGAACCAGCCCCTGACGCGTCGGCCCCGCCCCCTGGGTGCATGCTGGAGAGGTGTCACCCTTTGTGAGGAATGAAGAAATGCACCATCGCCTGGAAGTAGCCAGTAAATGGCCACACACCCCCGCCCCCCCCAGGGCAACCATAATGCTGATACGGCCCTCAATGAAATTGAGTTTGACACCCCCGCTTTAGAACACTGCAAAAACTTAGGATTTAACAAAGTGTTATTTTGATTGCATCTCCAATAATGCAGTTGTTTATTCTTCTGTACAAATACTATGAGCTTCAATAAGTTGGAAATATTTTTGTTGTATAACTTGTAATCTAAGATCCAATAAGTATTTAGTATTGAAGTTTAAACATTTTCCTTTTTTAAGACAAAATGAGGGTCTCACATTTCTTATCAATTAACAGATCACATTGATATACGAATAACTGGTATTTATAAAGACTGTTGACTTTTTGGACTCAGAATTTCATCTAATAACTTAGCTAACTTTGAGATGAAAATGTTGTTGGTCCAAATCAAGATGTCAAATAAACAACTATAAATACTACCTTTTAGTAACAACTGACAAATGTTTTTTATCTTTTAACAAAGAAAATGACAAAAACTCATCATTGTCATCCACTAGTTTTATTAATATAAAAGATCCCAACATCCATTCAGATATTGACAGTATCAATTTTTAATCAATTTTGAGATCTAGGTTATATCATAGTGTCAATTTGGCATTAAAAATGATCAAGGTATATTTTCAAAATATACTGTCCCACAGTTTTCAAATAAATTTGATAGTGACAAATATATATATATTGCATCTTTTTCAACAATATCTTTGGGTTTGAAGAATCCTGCTGAAATTTATAAAACAATATACTGAGTAAATGAAAATATTTTGGATACACATTTTGCACAATATATAAAGTATCCTGGAAATGAGATTATCTGTGTCCTGAGCACCCAGGTTTTTCTCAAGCTGGGCACCTGGATCATTTTCCTGCTAGACAAGATGGGTCAGGCATATTCTACCTGCACAAGATGACCCTAAAGGCAATAAATCAGGTTACTGCATTTTGTAAAAATTGCTGTTTCTGAGTCATCTTCAAGGGCAGCCTCATGCAAAATTAAGCTACACATAAAAGACAGACGAAGCGAGTCGCTGTCTTCAGTGCCTCCTGATTTGGGATAGGGTTAGGTATAACTGGCAGACCTGCAAAAATTAGTCAAAGGTGTCCTGGACATATCTTCCGCCTGTTGTTTCAAAAGAAGCCATGATTTTAGGAGACTACATAATAGCTCCTTCAGGGAAAGTGCTACTCATCAAGAGTTTTAGATGGAACTTCCATGGTACTGTAAGACTTCTGAACTAATAGTAACCTCATCTTTCTGTGAATCCTTCATAATCTGTATTGCCCCCTTTTATCCCTCACAGCTTCTAGGCAGCATTTAGGTTTGCCTTAAGTTTGCCTTTAGGGATCTCTTATTTGCCTTACAACCAAGGTGTAAAATGATATCCGCAGCATATTAGTGATGTCTAATACCCAATCAATGGATGAGTATTCATCATAGTTTCATTTAAAAAGTGGGGGGGGAGAGAAGCAGAATACTAGAGCATCCACTAAAACTTACTCTGACAAGTATTGATGGTTCACTGTTTTTACTGCCACAGTATAGATCCGAACATGGAATTATACTCTTACTCTGGTTGTTGTCATTTCTCATCACTTGCCAGCATTGCTCCAGATACCTTATTTTGCACTTCCTGTCCTGGAACTTCTTGTTAAATCAAGGAGCACTCCAGATTGATACCAAAAGAAAGTCTGTGTGCAGACTACCTGCTAAATACTTGATAACTAGGTGGTCCTCAAAGCTGCATGCTAAATTGGTATAAATTTCAAAAACTTACTGTCCTATTTCATCTTAATTAAAATCCATAATTATATCTAGGTAGATAGTCTTTAGAAGAAATGATGGATACATTTGTAATGATATTGAACTATTAAATGGTATAATACATATAGTCCATGAAATTTATGAATAATAATGATAAATCTAATCGAATTAGGCTTTATAAGAAGCACAATCTAAAATGTAAAGTAGTTAATAAAAATATTATAACCAAGAAAAGATCATTTATCTACTGGAGAATCAGTTATGATGGAAGTAAAAAAGAACTAATATATATTCAATTTCCAATGCTATCGGAATGGAATATTCTTTTCACAAGATTAAATGAGAAAAAGAAATTCATGTGTTGTGCATAACAGCCAGGAGCTCTCAGTCCTTTAGTTAATTTATTCAATTGTAATTTCATAACCTTCTTGGGACAGCAATATTAGCAACAAGTATTTAAAATGGGAGAGTATTATAACCTATATTTGCTACTTTATAGGATGAATTGAAATTACAAATGAAATATTTTACCCAAATTAAATTACCAAAAAGGGGCTATTACAACTTATTATCTACTTCTAATTTCAATATTTGTTTAATTTATTTCAAATAGGGCAGAAACAACTTGGGCTCCATTTATGTGTGGGCATCTGGAAATGGTGGAAGAAGTAAAGATCATTGCTCGTGTGATGGCTACACCAATAGCATCTATACCATCTCCATCAGTAGCACAGCTGAAAGCGGAAGGAAGCCTTGGTATTTAGAAGAATGTGCATCAACATTAGCCACAACCTACAGCAGCGGAGAATCCTATGACAGGAAAATAGTATGTGGTCTTTTCACCATGATTGAAGTTCATAAAATTAACAACTTCTTTTTGTAAATATATTCTAGGTGTTATTTATCCTAAAGTTACTTGACATTTTTTTATATATATTTTAAAGGATTTGCTCCTAAAAAAATATATTTTTCATCCTCAACCAAGTCTTGTGTGACTTGCACAAGAAACAAACATACAGAAAAAAATCTTCCAACTGAAGGGAGGGGAAAACACATTTGTTCTCTCTCAATCCTAGTTGTCCATCATGAATACAAATTTGTTTAATGTTTTCTCCTTTTCAGTCTCTTGCTGCTAATAAGGAGTTAAGATCGGCTATTTTTCAAAATATATCGTTTCTTCTAATAATCTGGGATATTAGCCATCTCTCCTGGAAACCTTGCTGTTTTCAGATGATTAATTTTAAAGACAAATTCTGAGGTAACTCTTCATTCCAGTAATTATTCTGTTGTCATCTGCTTTCTTCTACTTATTTTTCTTTTGATAAATTTTATATATTTGGGGTTTTTTTCTATAATCTCCTCAAAAAATGGTAAAAGAAGGAAGAAGTCATTCATTTTTCTAGCAAAAAATATTTCCATGATAAAATTTACCATCTTGAATTCAAGAGTATTTTGGTAATATTGGTTTTATGACAAAATATTTGATAATCTACTCTTATACAACCCTTTAATTTCCATTCACTCAAAAACTTGATATAGTGTAACACACATTGTTCAAATATTTCTAGATAAGATTTTCTTAAAATGTTCCATGCTGAAGCCATAAACAATTCAACCTAGGATCATTTTTGTGTTTTAAATTAATTAAATAAAATAAGACTAAAGAAACCAAGCAGTTGAAATAGAATTAATGATTTCCAACAATGCAAGGATTCTAAAGGTAACTTTGCATGAACTTTAGTTATAGATTACAGCATGTTACATGTAAAATGTATAAAAATTATTTTGGCTTCTAGTACTAATAAAGAAGAATAGTTGTAGCTCAGGGTTGAAATCTTTAGTGCTTTCTGAACTTGTTGTTTTCTTGCAGACGTTTCGTTACCCAAACTATTATCAGTGCTAATCTTGTGTCCTAGACTAGCTTTGGCTTCTAGTATTCAAGAAGAGTATAATGCCCTATCAAGCTTTCATCACATTTCTCTGATATAAGAGCAACTATAGCAAAAACATGATTCTGTGGGATTTCTCTTAATCTCAAGTAGTGCAGTTAAACTATTGGACTATCAGTACCATGCATTTAAACCTGTCCAGTCACTTCTTGCTATCTATTTGATAAATAAATTCAAAACCATGCAAGCAACTATTGGTTCAGTTTTATTTTAAAGTTTTCTTGAAATCTTGATAGTCTCAAATTACTATTTAGTGATGGAGTGGTAACATCATCCAGGCATAATCCTAATTCTGCTTGCAGAAAAAAATCTGGCGGTTGTAATTACAACTGCATCTGTCTATTATAAATCTACATGCATTTGCAGGCAGCCATCTATCTGCCTCAAAGAAATAGCACCTTCCGAAGCGTCCCTTTTCAATTGAGAGACACTCCATTTCTGCAAGGAAGCCTATTAGTTATTAGAAGAACGTGGCTAGACCCAGGCTGTAACACAACTTCCATGTTTTGTTTTGTATTTAGAATACTTGGAATTGCCACTTCAGGTTGAAAAAAAGGGCAGAATAGTTTGCACATGCCTAATTATGAGATCACCTGACTCCAGAATCCCTAATTATAAGTTCATTTCACTCAAGATGACTAGGATGGTGAATTAAGTCTAAAAACTATCAGAATTATTACTCTGGAAAGAAAAGCTAAACACAACTTTACCTATAAATAGTTCCAAAGTTTTCATGCAAGGACTGGGGGAAGGTCTTCAAGGCTCTTGAAGGAAAGCAGAATACAGGATATTCAAATATGAGGGGAGAGAGCAGGTATTAAGTCAGACAAGGCAACTTCTGGATTCTTATCATTTAAAACAGCGGTTCTCAACCTATGGGTCGCGACCCCATTTGGGGTCGATCGACCATTTTTCGGGGGTCGCCAAAGAAGGCGATCCGCCATTTTCTCCCCTTCTCCGTGCATGGGAGGTGCCGCGCATGCGCACTGCACATGGGGCGGGGCCGCGCAAGCGCGCCACGCATGCGCACCACACATGGGGCGGGCTGCACAAGCGCACCGCACATGGGGTGGGCCGCGCAAGCGCACCGCGCATGGGCGGCGCCGCGCAAGCGCAGAACGTTTGTGTGACGGGGGTCGCCGTCACACAAACGTTGAGAACCACTGATTTAAAAGGAAGATTAGATGGCAATTAGGATAATACACAAAACGAATATATTTAATCAACTTTGATTTAAAGAATGAAAATCAATCTGGCCAGTTTACATCAAAATATTTTACATGGCTCAAATAGAATTTCCACTCAGAGAGTTTTTGTTACCCTTTTCTGAAATCTCTCTGTAAATAATTGAAGTAAGAGTGATGAGGGGATTAATATGTGAATAATAATTCAGTGTATAGACGTGATCTAGCATAAATCTAATTATGCCTAATCTTATTATGCTCATAACTTTATTAATAATGTTCTTCTGATGCTTTGAGCTAAAACAAACAATCTAACAAGCAATATAACTTGAATCCAGAGTTCATATAAATAAAATCTGTTGATTCACTAAGACTTTCTGATCCTTTCTGCTTCTTCAACCCTCTGTAGTCCAAACCACCTTTCCTGAGGATTTGGCAACTTTAAAAAGATTTCAATATAATATTTGTAGGAAAGGGATTACAAATAATTATGCTATTGATATATTTCTTCAAAACTAATTCTGGATCTTACTGTTCTTATTAATCTGTATAATATAAATGTCAATATCTCAAGCTGGTACATATATTGTGTCTACATTTATTTATTATTTATAAATAATATGAGGTATGCCATCAGTTCCATAGTTTCCAGGAGGCTTATAGTCACAGCATATTAAGAAAATAAATAAAACCTACATAAAACCATAACCAACATCAGACAGGGAAAATAATGGAATAGTCCCTAGTTAACTGTTAACCCAATATGCAGCCCTCTTCTTCAAAGTCTCTGTGGAAAAACACAATTTTAACTGACCTCAATGAGAATTCTGTTTGAAAGTAATAGCGCAACAAACAACAACACCATCTGTCCACTATATTGGCTTCTACTGTCAGCAGGCAGGCAACTACTTTTGATGCCAGCCATTCTATGACCCAACTTCATTCTGGGTCATCTTCAGTGACAGCCACTTCATAAGGAGAGGCACAATAACCTTTTGCTTAATTCAGAGGAGTTATAAGCCTGGGAGATATTTTTTTTGTTTCCGCAAGATTTTCATTTGAGCGCTTTTGGCTGAAGCTTAAGTGATAGAAGAGATTGATATGAAGGGTTTTTTGATGCGTGCCTTTTACTGATCTTATGTTTGTCTCTATCATAATAGTTTGTTTGCTTTGTTAGCTGAAATAATGGGAATATTCTCAAACAAAAGGTTGATAACTGAAAAGCAAGATGTTGCTTCTATAAGTTTCCATTTTTCCTTTTTATATTTCTAAGAAGTTCTAAATTAAATGACTGAAAAGTACTTCACATTATTTTATATTTAATTTTTAAAAAGGATATTCAATTAATCAATTATATAAATGTAATATAAATGTATTAGTGGGTTTCTTTTTGATTTTTTTTTAATTAACACTTGTCAGAGTCTATCCAACTGCACACTGGAATGAAACAATCACCTTCATGCTACTTTAAGGAAGGAGAAGGAGGGGACATAATCTACATTTATTGTTGATTGACTTTTCTTGTATGCTACCAAATGTTCCCACAGGAGCCAGTTTAATAAAGATCAGAAATAGCCAGCAAATTTTTCTACATCCCTAGTGGTCAATTTGCCATGTGAAATCAGTTTCAGACACTATAGCATTTTGAATCTGGGCAGTGGACCTATAGACCTTAAACATTTAATTCTATATATTGTTTCTTTTTTATATATGACTTTATTGAATTTAAATAAACCACAAATACTGATAGAAGATATAGAAAAAGAGTACTTTCCAACTTTCTTCAGTACAGATACAAATATATAGTAAAGCAACCTGACTATATTTAAACAAAAATAAAGGCATAATATGTAAATCAGCAAACAAAAGGAAAACAATACACAATATTTCTATAATTGGAACACTAACCAATCATCAAATACCAAAATCAATTTCATTTCTATTATTTTTGAGCAAGAAGTTCAAAAGTAGTATCCAAATGGAAACAAAGCTTTGTTTTTCATCAGAGTGATCAGTTTTGCCATCTCAGCCAGGTCTATTAATTTCCCAATTTATTCTTCCAGTCTAGGACTTGTCTCCTCTATGCAAATAGAAGTCTTGTTGGTGTTATGTATAAGAACAAAGCCCCCTGCTTCCTTTCGGTTTGGTATCCATCATACCTAAAAGAGAAACTTTCAGTTTTAATTGCGTGTTGATTTTTTTTAATATATTTTCTAAATCAAAATACATTTTGTTCCAATATTTCTTAGCATTTTGCAAGAGGTGATAAAAGGTATTAGTTGCATTTCCAACACTTATTTGACATTCCCATATACTCCTTTGTCAGTTTATCAGGTGTTAAATACCAACATCATTTTATACAAATTTTCTTTCACATTGTTTACATTGCTTCTTTCTCTCTAGACCCCTTCCCACTTTTAAAAATAATGGAGAACCCAAAAGAATATAGGTTATCTTTGTTAACGTTTATATTAATACTGACACATTTGCTGCTGTTACTGCTTATCATAGTTGTTTGGTGGGATTTTAATATTGTATTATTTTTTAGCGTAGGCTGGCAAATAAGTTTGACTTTGCAGACCCCTGAGAAGGTCTTGTGGATGGCCAGAGATCCTAGGATCAAACTTTAAGAAACATGATGTAGACAAACTCACAAAGCTTTAACGTTTGCTATTTAATGCCAAGTCACTGACAAGTTTACAAGTTGCCACTGATACTTAATTTACAACTTGTGTAGACCTGAATACAAAATTATCAAGTTTGGCAAATGATGTATTTTATATTTAACAATTGTTAGGAAAGCAAGAATTTGCTTTTGGCATCATTTCCCATCCATCCACCCCTATCCTCTACCCAGAATAGTGTTCTGGTTTCAAAGTGCCTATGCATTCACCTTTTGGGCTTTCTATTAACTCTTTTCCTGGCAGTTACATTTATCATTTACTGGCAGTAGCCTTTATTGTTTCAATTTATATTCCACAAATTTATATTCCATGTTTTAGCAGCTTTGTAGATTGTGTCCTGAGGCTATAGTTACAAAACATTATGTTGATTTCTGATGTACTTTCCTATTGATGAAGTACATTCAGTTCTAATGTATGCAGCATATGTTTCTTTTATTAATTATATTTTGATAATTGTAATTTAATATTTATTTTCTAATTGGTATAACTACACACTGATAGTTTTGATATGTTTACAAAGTAGAAATATGTTTGGATATGTTTACAGAGTTTTACATTTTCAGCTTATATTTTTATTTAAACTGGATGGAAGATGGCTTATATACAATTTCAATCTTTCACACCTAATTTCCAATTAATATTTAATTTTTAATGCTATGCATGCTTAATAGTACTCAATTCTAATGTACAGTACATGTTAACATTTTATACTGTATTATGTAGCTGTAGCAGTATTTATGTTAAAGATAAAACATCTATTGAAATTCATATTAAAATGCTATTTTAAAATGGGGTGCTTTGTGGGTTTAAAAAGCCTTTGTATTAGATAATGACATGTTTTTAATAATGCATAGGAAAATTTAGGAAAATAAATAATAGAGAGTAATCAGAGTAAATATATTTAATATAAAATTTTACTTTTTCTGGCCTGACCCAAGTATTTATCCTTGCCCCATCTACTTTCAGAATGAGGATTCTGGCATAACTTTGAAAGGCTAAGGTCCCATTCCCTCAGCAATTATTTATAGGGAGCACAGGATTTTGTTGAAACTCAAGTTTCAGACATCCAGTATGTTCATCATGTAAATACTTCAAAGATACCTGATTGACATTGCACATGTAATTTGGATTCCTCTAGAGCAGGGGTGGGGAACCTTGGCTCTTTTATGACTTTTGGACTTCAACTCCCAGAATTCCTGAGCTGCTGGCTCAGGAATTCTGGGAGTTGAAATCCACAAGTCATAAAAGAGCCAAGGTTCCCCACCCCTGTTCTAGACCTACAGCATAAATATCCACGGGGCAGAAACTGTGTGAGCTCCTACATGAGGAAGGATTATGTCAACTCAAGTGGAAGCCAATGCATGTACAATAGTACATTTGTATTCAGTTGTGAACGTCTGCAGGAGCTGCTGTCATACAAGCAGCCTTGGTTGAGGCAGAAATGTATTCAGAGTGCCGGCTTCTGCTTTCAAGAGTCTGCTACTCTTGCCACTGAAAGAATAAAATTTATATCAGATTGGAATTTAATTCTGCTTGCAGCACTACCATAAAATGCCAAGTGTCAAATCATCTAACTAAGTGTCTCATAAAGGTAATATGGGATTGCTGCCAGACATTTCATTACTACAGCATTCTGGGAGGCAAATGATTTTTGGATAGCCACATGCTTTAGAGAACTAAAACCGGCATTAAAAAAAAAAGTTATCCCATTGAATAATAATAAAGTTTCACATGTGTGTAAATTAATAATAATAACTTTGTGTTGTCTGCAGCAACGTTATTCTTAATCATACACTTTCCCCCCCCCAGATCACTACAGACCTCAGACAGCGTTGTACAGACAGTCATACAGGGACGTCAGCTTCTGCTCCTATGGCTGCAGGAATCATCGCACTGGCGCTGGAAGCCAAGTAAGTACCTTTGTTTTTTTTTTTAATGAAAATCATTAAGACATAAGATTTTATGCATTCTTTCACTTATTGTTATAAAATGTTACTTTCCCTTAAAAATACTTGTGCATATTCATGTATTAGGAATACCTGAGGGACCGCCTTTTTCTAAGAGTCTCTACCATCCAATTCAATCTAGCAGATGAGGCAGCAGGCGGATAAGCCATAGTGTGTTGGCTGGCATAAACTAGAAGACGGGCCTTTTCCATAGTGGCTCCTGCTTTCTGGAATATCCTCCTCTGGCAGATTAGAATGCTTCCAACTCTGTTAGCCTTTCATAAAGATTTAGAAACTTGGCTACGTTCCTCTGCCCAGGACACATTTCTTAGCTTTACAGTTAATTAGCTAATGGCTGCTGTGTATATTTTGGATGCTTCTTTTGATTTTAAAGGTTTTAATTGCTTTCATTTTCTTTTCAGTTTTGGAATAGTAAGGACCCAGAATCATTGGTTGAGATGGGCGGCTATAGAAATTGAATGAGCGAGTGAGTGAATGAGTGAATGAATGAATGAATGAATAAATAAATAAATAAATAAATAAATAAATAAATAACTTAGATATAGATCATAACTACATTGTAGCGGCATTTCCCTCTTTTAAAGTGCATTTAGAGCTTAATCCTAAATCAGCATTCCAGATTTGTGTAATGCATCATAAATAATGGTAGGTATAGCTCCACCACTTATAATGAATATAAGATCAAAGTCCATATATAACCAAATGGTTTTAAAACAATAGTTGTAATAGTTAACAATTAGATGTTACATTAAGGCCATCTTCTGTGCATCTCTGATCATTATATTTACTAATTGTTTTTATCTTTTTTTGAAGCCAATATATTTCTGTCTAGATTAAAATAAATGCAGCTGAATTACTCTACAATCAAAGTATAGCACAGGGGTTCTCAACCTTGGCAACTTTAAGACTTGTGGACTTCAACTCCCAGAATTGAAGTCCACAAGTCTTAAAGTTGCCAAGGTTGAGAACCCCTGGTATAGCAGAACAGAGAAGAGGGCCCCAATCAGCAGTCATTGCAAGGGAGGGGAAGAAGGAAATGGGAGGGCTAGAATGAAACAAGCAGGGTTGCAATGCCATGATGGATGCCTTATCCCTTTTCTTCTTTTATCATAAATCACACACAAAGGCAAAGGGGTAGAGCTTTTACCTCAGCACTGCTTCCTTCAATCTGATCTAAGCAGTGACAGCCTGCAAATGCCACTGCCCCAAATTCATAGTTCTAAATAATTTTTAGAATATGGAACCCAATGGAGATTCCATCACCCCAAACCACTCTCTTCCTGATATGGAATTTCTAGCACTGATTTAGTCAGGCCAATGTCCATTTAATCAAGTTGGGCCATTTTAGTTTGCAATTCTGCTTTTAAAGAGGGAAATTAAGATGCCATGTTACTTAGTGGAAGAATGACATGTGCATCTTTTACTAATAGCTGCTGGGGGGGGGGGGAAATAATTACTAGAAAGGATTTTATTACTGCAGAGATCCCAGATAGTTTCACAAAAAGGTTTGCTAACAATATACTAGCTTTTCTACTAGCTTACATATGTAGCCCAAGATTGTCTCTAAAATTATACTTCTCACTTGAGAGGGGCAGATTTTTGCACATCCTCTATTTTAGCTTAGAGCGGGTTGGGCTAATATTCTTTCACCATTGCTAACTCAAAACATTTGGTGGACTTTTTATGCTTAATTTAAAATATATTTATATTTTACATAAATTATATATTTATTTTAAAATTGGTTTTTCTTTTCTTTTGTTTTTTTATTTTTCATTTTTTGCGTTTTCTTTTTTTGTTTTTGTTATTTTGTTTTTCTTAGCTTGTGCTAGTGTTTACTGTTTTAATAGGAACGTTTAACAAAATTACTATAAAACATTAATAATAATATTTAAAATAAAATTTTGAAAATTTAAGCAAATTCTGATGCCAGTTTTCTAGGCCACAAACCTTTTGTACTGAATTGCTTAAACTATAGTAATCCAAAAAGAAAAGAAACAAAATGGGTTCTTGCCAGGATTCTTTTGCTAAAAATATGTAAACAAATAGTTGTGATACACAGTGATTATCAACAATCAACAATCTACAATGCTTTTCTTAAAATAGTAGTTATATCCAGTTGGCAATCCTGGTAAATGATGTCCATGAGGTCATGAAGAGTTGAAAGTAACTGAACAACAAAAACAACAAACATCTTTAGAGCTACAGCTACTGACGTCTGAGAAACAGCTGTTTGGGCAATGGATCTTCTTCTCTCTCCTGGCATTTCTCCCATAACAAAGTTCCTCCAGCTCTCCAAAAGAGACTTGGAAGCCTTACAAAAATTAGGGGAAATATTTCAGTAGTAATATTTTTCTTCAGTAAAAGTGATATTACTTGATTTGTTGAAAATATATGTTCATATTATATTTGTAACCTGAAGGTAACCATGTTTAGTGAGGAATAATATATATATATATATATATATATATATATATATATATATATATATATATATATATATATATATCTGCTTGATACCTAAGAATTTCCCTTCTGTGCTTGTTTTCCATTTTTTCTGTGTACATTGGGATTTTAAAAAAAAATCTTCCACTGCTGAACATATATTTTTATTTTATAATAATAGTTTGGGACCCATGAGAGGTTCAGAGGCATTCTTGCCTCTTAAGAGGGTTGATGCAGGGAACTGCTACTGGTTTTGCTATCAGTATATTACCTTTCCATTTATTTGTTCTGTTTAATGAAAAGAATCTGAAAAAAAATAAGTTGGATGGAGGAAAAAAAAGCTTAGTACCAAGGAGGTATTAACAAAGACATTGAAGCTGACAATCAGATTGTAAAATAAAAATGGGCCATATGTTTTCTGAAGTGGCAGATCAGAATCTGAAATACTAACCAATAAGCCGACAAATGATTCCAGAATTTTATGTTCATTCACTGGATTTTACTGGGAAAGCAGTTCTATAAAAAATATCTTCAGTTTGTTACTTTCCAAATCCTAACCAATTTGGTTTGTTTAGTCACTTAGAAAGCCCTTTTTCTAGAACTTCTGGTGGCAAACTAGTTATTCCCGAAGAATCAGGGATGAAATTATGATAGACATCAGCAGCCAGATGATGAATTCTGGCCAGCAAAGTCTCTCTGAAAAGGAAGAGATCTGGAAATCATTCATCTGCATTCCAGACAACTGCTCCTCGTGAGTAGACTGCAGGAACTGAATTTTTTGCAGTTAGTTGTGAACTAAGCAGCCAGAAGCCAAGGGCTTTTAACAAACCCACAACCTTAATGTAGTCTATATAGGTACAAAGTTCGTAAGTGCCTCATTTCTTAATCATTTCTGGTGTAATTAATTTACAGCCAAAGAGATTTTCTGAATGACAGGATAAGGTTCCATTTGATAAGTTCTTTTTTCTGGTTTACAAAGGAATAGACAAAAAAGAGATTTTAAAGATTTAAAAACCTTTAACCAAAACCTTAACAAGTTGATGAATTTTTTTTTAATGGATTAATGGAACAGTTATTTTGAAAGATTATTTCTTCGATGAAAGTGTTTTTAAATGAACTAGAATTAAGATAAACAAAGTGGACTAAAAAAAAGTTCTTTGTTTATTATTAAAGAGTGTGACAGTTGGTGGATTTTAAAACAAAAGATAAATATGAGCCAGACTATGATGCTGATTGAAACTACAGAATGCTATTAGAGACAAATGTATTAAAGGAACAGGAAGATAAAATAGGAAAAAAGGACTTTTCTTTCTTCATTGCCTTTAAAAACTTTTAATGTTGAATTATAACATCATAATAACAACTGCCATAAAAATGCAAGAATGAAGGAGAGAAGAATTCTTAAAGCAACCTGCAAAAAAAGGAATTACATCAGATTTGCTTCAAAAAATATTTGTGTAAATGGATAATAAATTGGAGTCACTTGATACTAAATTGACAGCTTTTGAAAAAGAATGAAATATTGTAAAGATAAAAGAAGAGATGAAATAAATTAAGAAGATGGAAAACTCTTCAAAACATATCTGAACATTGCAAGACTGAGTTTGAAATAGGATTGTGGACAAATGATGAACATGTAAGTGCTAAAATTGTGTAAACGTTTATTGAAATTTGAAGCAGAAGACAAGCTAGTGAAAGTGGACTAAAACTGTGATTATAAGGTATAGATGGAACAGTGAGAAAATATGCAGTTGAAAGGAAATTTACATTATGTTATAATCTTAAAGATAATTTTTTTATAAAATTATGTATCAATAGTATGCAATTGTCCAGAAGTTACAAAGGCACTTTAAATCTATGTTGAAATTGTCAGCTGTAAGAAAGGATATTTTATTATGTTTGATGGACATGTAAAAAAGCTAGAAATTTTTGGGTTCTATTACATGCAGTGATTCAAAGGATTTTAAATATGCGCAATTGAAACCAGAGGCTTTTCTTTTGGGATTGATGGTCAAACAGTTGGGGGAAAAAAATTAGATGTAATTTTGTTTTTCTACATGATGACTATTGTGACAATGCACAAATTGTATGCACAAAGATGGAAAGTTTTGGCACTATCTATAATCGAGGAATGGTTGGTTAATAAATTGCTGAGATGGCTAATTGACTTGATCAGAGAAAAGACAATATCTACATGTATTGCTAGCTGGAAAACCTTGATGGATGTTTTGTGTGAAACAGAAAAAAAATGAATATATGATCTATGGCGGGGGTCCCCAATCCCCAGTCTGTGGACCAGCACCAGGCCGCAGCATGCCAGAAACCAGGCAGTACAAGCAAGTGAAGCCCTATCTGCAGGATGCAGGCAGCACGCGAAACCACAACCCCTCCAGTCTGCAAAAAAAACTCTCTCCACAGAACCAATCCCTGCTGCCCGAAAGGTTGAGGGCCACTGATCTATGGTTTTGATGAGTAGGCAGAACAGATTATAGAAACAACGG